GCACAATGTGCTTTGAAGTAGCAGCCAAGAAAGGTGTGATTTAAGTCTACGAACAGTGAACACCCGTGTGCACACCTGTGTGGATCGCTTGTATTCAAATGGTTTCCCCATGTGTCTATATCTACGTGTCTCTAGAATTTAGCTTCAGTTTAAAAACCTTTGCAGGGCAACTCCAAAAAGATGCAGTTTTACATTATTGGAAGGCACACTTATTTTTATAAATGAAAGAAAGTAAAGCTCTTCTTCTTGTTTGTGTCTGTAACTGCCCCCTCAGGCTAATGGATTATACGTTTAGATTCTTTAATCTCCACGTAGAAGCATCTCATGCCATCAAGCCAGTGAGACTAATCAGCCGAGTACCAAGTAAGTTGATATTTACAGAGTTTGAAGAGAACAGAGGCCTGATGATTGTCATTATTTAGATTAGTATGGTTATTTTGAATGTACACTACATTGTTTAGACTGGAGGGCTAAACAAGGAGAGTTTTAAAAGGCAGGCAAGCATGTGGCATGGTCATCCAAGTTTGTGAATTTGATAACTCAAGTAAAAAATGATGTATGAGTTTCAGTACATCACCTATGATATCATAGATGTATTTACTAAAAATCTTGGACTAATTCAAATCTCAGTGACCTCGACCTCAAGCTCAAGTTTTCTGAAAACCTTGTGATTGCGATAATTCGAGAATAAGGCGACGTAGGATTTTGTAATTGAATTCATAGGTGTGTCTACTGGGAGGTTGAGGGGTAGCAGTGTTTTTTCTTTGTTAAAATCAGATTTAGTTTAAAATGTTGAAGCACTCCAGTTAAACAACAGTAACAAAGAATTTTGCTCCACAGGTTGTTTATTTGTAACTGAATACTGTGAATAAAGATATTTGCTAATTTATATGTGATTATAAAGGGGAAATGTAATATTTCATCACTGCATTGTAAACGTTGTGACAAATCTCCCTGAAGTATACAACGTCAATAAAATATCTTTTAAATATTTAAGATTTCACACTAAGTAATGTAAGTAATTAAATTCTGAGACATTTTTTGTGGAATCTTTTCAAAACACAAACTGTAATAAGAAATTAGTGAAATTTGGCACTTTCGGATTTATTCCTTCAGGATGTTTGGTTGATTTTCTGTCCCTCTCCAGTAATATGAAACCACCATAAGACCACAGAGAGCAAACTTACAATTTCAGGAGGGGATCAAATAATTATTTCCCCCAGTGTATGGATT